GGGCCTAGACCCTTCTTCAGAAAAAGTTTTCTGAAGAAGGGTCTAGGCCCGAAACGTCAGCCTTCCTGCTCCTCTGATGCTGCTTGTCCTGCTGTGTTCATCCAGCTCTACACCTTATCTCAGCACCAACATCTCACTAATTTTATGTTGTGACTGTGGCAAAATGGGACTAGATAAAGGCAATGCACTCCCCCATCTTGGTTTAAACACAAGGAGAAAATTTGAATTTTAGAATGTGACATGACAATCATTCCCTGAAGCAGTGAGTTATATATTTTCTGGGTCATAGGTTAATTGATAGTCATTAGCCATTGCTATATTGTTGAAAGGGCACTTGCAATATTAGTTACTAGACTAACTTTTGTGACTTAGTTAATGGTCAATTAATATATAAATGTAGCAACTTGATGAAAACCACAAGGAGATTAAGGCTGAAGTGATGTTGCCACAAAGTTAGTGCTGGAGTATTACAAACTTATGATTATACAGAATGACTATTTCTTCCTTGCCATGAGTTGCTGGCTGATTTTCACACTTGCAACATTCACATGTTGTAATTTTTTTTAGCAACTTCTTGGCCAATCATACTGTTTGCAATTTCTGCTCAGTTGTGTCAAGACTGCTTGATTGCAATTATGTTAATTTCAAGCCAGTTTCATTTCTGATTTGTGGTTACTTTTGGAAAAGAAAGGTTGGACTTTAAAGTAAGCATCAGTTATCTTATGTTAAAGACTATGTAGTCTAATAACTGACGCTTGTGAAATAAAGAGAGGTAGGGATGGGAAAACTGAGTGAAAGTTTTATTCATGTTTGTTTTAAATTTTAAAATAAGCGCAGTTGGCTTTTGAAAATGAAACCCTTCCACTTATCAGGTGATTATTGCATACATCTTAAAAGCCTATTTTTAAATCATTCATTCTCAGGATGTGGACACAAAGGTTAGCATTTATTGCCCTTGAGATGGTACTGGTATGCTGCTGCCCTGCAACACCACAGTCCTGGTGGGGGAGTGGGGGTGTGGAGGAGTTGGGAGTTGTTAGGGGCGAAGAATGTTAGGAAACTGTGATGATGGATTTCAATGATTAACAATTATCATGAATATTGATGATGTGACTGTTTGTTCCTGAAGTTCCCATTAATTTACTCTGGAAATTTATCAGACAGTACTAAAGCACAAATAAAGGCATTGTTGTTCCTAAACCTGGTTAGGAATAATGGTGGGATGAAACATGTTTTGCTATACCTTGGGATTATGGATTAGATCTATGCTTTAATAATGCTGAAGGGTGTAAATTTGGTGTTGATCAGCGCTGATGGAAGGAAGGTGGGGAGTGGTTGTGCGTGCCTAACATCACCAGGTGGGCATGAGTTTCTTCTGGATCTGATGAAGGATCATTAACCTGAACTGTTGCTTCTATTTCTCTTGGCAGATGTCACCAAATTTCGAGCGTTTTCTGTTATTATTTCAGATTGCTAGCATGTACAATATTTTGGATTTGTGTTAAGGTTCTCTTGTGTCTGGCAGTGTTTGGCTTTTTTAAATTTCTGGGAGCTGAATGGAATATCATGGTGTATTATTTTCTTTCTTGCTTTCTTTTATCAATTTCCTTCCAATTCTCTTATTTTGTCCCTTTTTTTATTTTTTTGTGTCTCTTGATGAGCAAAACCCCTCTATCCCTCAGCCATGCCCACTTTACTTTTCTCTGAATATGGTTTTCGGCAGAATCTGAAACCACAAATAAGAAACTTAATTAGAATGTTACCAAGACAGACAATGCAGTGAAGTTAGCGACTATGGCAAAATATATATATTTGATTTAAAAATATAATTATTAAATATTGTGCTTGGCTTATGAAAAATGTCAGGAATAAAATGCCAGTAAATTATGGCAAAATTTTGATGTATTCTTGTAGATTTTTCCCATTTATAATGAATCCTTCATTTTGTAAGCATTCTTGATGCTGCAGAATCATGCATTCTCTGAGAATATAGCACTCAGGTCACGCTCCATGCCAAGGAATTGTCACATGTACTTGTTCCAGTATATTAGATACATGGAATTATGCCTACGTCCCGAATGGAGCTAGTTGCAAGATTTTCATTTGTCATTTAGGACAGTTTTAGGGTCAAGAAGGAGAAGATCAAAGGTGACAGAAAATTGAAACTGTGTGTGTGTGTGTGTGTGTGCACGTGTGCGCCAGTAGTAAGTTTGTAATCGTGAGAAGTAGATACCCGTGTTCAGCTGTACTGCTGGCAAGACACCTAAATGGTTCTGCACAGGAGAATTAATGAGAAGTCCGAAGTGCAGTTCAATATCTCTGTGCTATTGGAATTGAGGCACAAGTTTCATGAGTTGGTCCACAGTCAAGTGTTGAAGTCAGGGAGGTTGATTGACTGGAAGAGAGGGCAGTCATTGAGACTCTCAAGGATGGAACAACTCTTGAGAACAAGTCCAAGGCCAGATCAGTAAAGGTAAAGACATGTAGCCCGTTGAGAAGTTTAATGAGACTCACTATGCCATTAATGTTTGGGGGAAATCGCTGAGAATTCCATGGAATCTGTTTTGAACGCATTTGCTGTTTGATCTGTGGTATGGAATGTTCTATCACAGTTTATTACGCATGTTTAACACGTTAATTCTGGGTGTTACAGGTTGTGTATATATTGTAGATTTTATTACTGTTCTGGTGATGGAAAGTAAAGTTTACTGCTAGGTATTCAACTGTGAAATCCTCTGGCTTTATTCTCTGAACAAGTGTCCTAGGTCTCACACTTTGACAACTTTAAAAATAAAGTTATGGTCCCTAGCCAGATTGGAACATATTACTCAGAACTGATGAAGAGTCTAGGCCCGAAACATCAGCCTTCCTGCTCCTATGATGCTGCTTGGCCTGCTGTGTTTATCCAGCTCTACACCTTGTTGTCTCAGATTCTCCAGCATCTGCAGTTCCTACTATCTCTGATACAATAGAAATGTTGATGGGTCGCATCAAAATGATATCTTTCTCATTTGGATAATTGCATAATAATGCTGTATTCCTTATTCTTGTAATAATTTAAATGTATTGTGTACTCTTTAGCTCCAGAATTGGTCTTGCGGAAGATAATCAACTTTTCTGATTGCACCGTTTGTCTGGACAAGCGAAATGCAAGTGGAAAAATCGAATTTTACCAGGATCCGCTTCTCTACAAATGTTCCTTCTGCACACGTTTGCACTTTACTTATGACAATCTCAACTCTAAAATTCCAGCAATCATTAAGGTATTTATCTAAGAATACTTTGTATTCATAGGGCAACAACTAGGGATAAATCATTGATGGGAAATGATGGCAGAAGAATTGCGTAGGTATTCGTGACTAACCTGTAAAGTTTTCACATACCAATTTTATTTTATCCTTCACAGATGCTGCCACACCTGCTGGGCTTTTCCAGCAACTTTGTTTTTGTTCCTGATTTACAGCATCCGCAGTTCTTTCGGTTTTTAATTTTATTTTCAAAGTGTTCCATCAAATTTGTACGTATTGAGACATGCAGATTCAAAGATGAGATTTTGCAACATGATGCTTACATTTTTAACAATTTATCCAGATGTGGATATAGACTTAATTTTTAAATAAATATAATGATTTGTTGCATTTACAGATCTTTATAAAAATCTCACATCGTGTTTTTGGTGATGAAGGAAGTCTACTGGAGACTGAGGATATTTGTCTTTTCTGGTTTACTCAATAAATAAAACCAACAGTGTTGGATCACATTAATGACAAATGGTTAGGTATTTGCTAAAATATTCTGATACGTTCAGTACAGAGAGGTTAAGACAGTTGTGTCTGTGTACAATTTGTGACTTAAGTATGCAGGTATCAACCTAGTATTGAAGTGTATGAGATGCCATTAAATAGATTTGCTACAAATGGGCAAATATGTTTTGAATGTAGTTCTGGAGAGAACTGATGATCTTTAAGTAATAAATGCAGAAGAATTAAGTTAACTTTATTTGCATTTGATCCAAGCTGATTAGCAATGGCCAATCTACTGCCAAGTTTCTGCGAGTGCTTGGAGATTGCTGGCACAAGTTACATTGGAAAAGTAGTTTAGAGTTATTTTCGCAGTAATGTTAAGACTTCTTAAATGTAAGGAAGCAGCTCCAGGATACTGTTTGATACCTCCCTGATGAATAAGACAGATAGTAGGGAGTAAGTGATAGATTTATGTGTTCAGTATCCTTTCCCAAAGTGATACTTACTAATGCTTCACATTGTGCCATACACAAGTGTGCACAACAACTCTTAAGCAGAAAATTGAATAAATGATCAATCATGTTTCTTTTGATCATTAATGTAGAATGTAGGTAGGATGTCATGAAAACTTCCTCTTCTATAGGATCCTTTATATCTTCCTGAATGTCTCATTTGAAAGACAGTATTTCCAGCAATTCTACAGTTTCTCAATATGACAGGTCAGCCAAGATTTGATGCTCAAAACCTATGATGGGTTTAGAACCCACTGCCATCTGACACAAGCTTAAAGAACTAATCCACAGAGCAAGCTGATACTTAGCTGTAGGGTTTTGTAGAATTATCGGGTTTTAGCAATTTTTCATTTGATTCTCTTCTTTAGATATAAGGTACCTTTAAAAAATGACTGGGGAACAGGTTAGTTTACCATTCTTGCAAAAGACTTGTCAGTATTTTGAGTCTAATTTGTCAAGTGGTGTCAAATTTCCAGATTGGAATGGATGCTACAATTGACCTGATTTCAGAGTATGCTTGTAACAGAAATCATTGATTTGAAGCAGACAAATGAAAGTGTTAAATTAAAAATTCAGACTGTATATTAAAATGAAGTACAAAACTCTCCAAATTCTGAGGCAAAGATTATGCCACAACCTCTTTGCTTGATTGCATAGCTTTTGCCATCTACTTCAAGAAGTTTTGTCTTTTAGGCATATGACTCGATGCTTTACAATAGAGTTGCCCCATCAATTCACTTTTTAAACACCAGTTATGACAACAATCATGGGATCATTTTTCTTTCTTCTTTCATGAAATGTGGGTGTGGCTGGCAGGGTCAGTATTTGTGCCCGTTCCTAATTGTCCTTGAGAACTGACTTGCTTGTTTGACCACTTCAGACAATAGTTAAGACTCAAACACATTGCTGAGAATCTTGAGATGCATGTGAACCAGCCTAGGAAAGGGTAGTACATTTACTTTCCTAAAGGACATTAGTGAACCAAATTGGTATTTACATTGGAGATAGTAGGAACTGCAGAAAATTCTGATGAAGGGTCTAGGCCCGAAACGTCAGCCTTCCTGCTCCTATGATGCTGCTTGGCCTGCTGTGTTCATCCAGCTCTACACCTTGTTATCTCTGGTATTTACAACAATTGATTGTTTCATGGTCACCATTACAGAGGCTAGTTTTCGATACCAGATTAATGATTTAAATTAGACCAGTTGTTATGGTGGGATTTGAGCTTGGACCCCTGGATTGCTGTCCACTGACATAACCATTGTGCCGCCATGTCCTCTTTTGATACAAATCAAGGAATTTCAAAACTGTGCTCGAGTTCTTCCCAGTGGTTTATGATAGATATTCTTCTTTACACTTTACTAATCACTTTGCCTAGTTGTAGTACTTGTAACAAATGTGAAATATCTGTGCAAAAGCAAAATCATGTGGATGCTGGAAATTTGAAATAAAATAAACATTCTAGAAATATTCAAGTCAGGCAGCATATATGGAGAGAAGCAGAGTTAATACGTTTCAAATTGAGATTATCTTTTTCAGAACAGATGAAAAGATTCTGATGATGGTGATTTCAACCTGAAACATGAACTCTGTTTCTCTCCAGAGAGGTTTCCTGACGTGCTGAGTATTTCCATCATTTATGGGTGTTATTTGGGAATATCTGTGAATGTTTCAGAACAATCAGTCTGATTAAAATGTTGTATAAATTCGGATTTTGAAGAAAGAATGCATTTTCCTTGCCAGAGAATTACTAACTGCAGATGTTCGTCAAAATTTCCTCTTCATAAACCTGTTTTCCTTCAGTCCTGTGGGGTGAAGTGAGATTTGTTGGGGTTGGTTTTTGTGGTTGAGAATAAGAGTAACAGATATCTTTTAGGGCTGTTCAGTGAAGACTGTACTCTGCAGACTTCTAAGTTCTGTTTTTCTGCCTGATGAGAAATCTCAAGAGGCAAAATCTTGGTCTCGTGCTCAGAGATGAAAAACATCACACACAGATGTTTGAGTTATCAGAACGGCCATTTAGCAAAGTTAGATTTGGTTAATCATGATTCAGCTAAGAAAATCAACCATTTTTAAGTTTCTACATTTTTCATTTGAACTTGTTTATGGTGTGCATGGTCAGAACTTCTAATTGCAATTGGTGAAAGTGATCCTTTTGGGATTTGAGTTTACTCTTTGTTAACATAACAAAATGATCTGTTCATGTGATCTTGGTCAGAGGGATTGAATATGAGTTAAAGTTAAAGTTCTTTTTTATCCAAAATGATTTTGAACTTTAAATTTGTAATAGCATTAAAGTAGAAACCCGAAGAACTAACCTCCATCAAGGAAAAAAATCTCAATGATCATTGCAGTGGAGGCAGTATAGAAAGGGTTCACTAGGTTCATTTCTGGGACGATGGAGTTATTTTATAAGAAAAAGTTGAGCAGCTTGGATCTATTGAAATGTGTGAGATTTGAATGAGTGGATGTTGAGAAAATGCTTCCTTTCGTGTGGGGCATCCAGAGCTGGGGGACACAGTTGTATAATTAGGGATCTCCCATTTAAGAGTGAGATGAGTACTAATTTACTTTTTAAAAAAAGTTGTCAACCAGTTATTGTTTTGTGATGCATTCACACTCATGAATAACTTGATAAGAACACCCAATTTTATCTTCACCTTCAGTTGCATAAAGCTGATATTTATCGTTTTCATTGAATGTTTTTAGAATAATTTCTTAGACTGGCAAGTTTATGGTACCATCCAGAGAGAAAGCTATATGAGATTTGGTTTTGACCGTTGAGATAGGATTAACTACTGACCACATAGTGAAAATGTCCCTGGATAGCAATGACTATAATATGATTGAATTTTACATACAGTTTAAGGGAGACAAGTGTGGGTCCAAGACAACTATTTTGAATTTAAACAAGGGCAGATATGAGGGCATAAAATGTGAACTGGCAGTTTAGGTTAAGGGATAGGTCAATAGAGATGTAACGACAAACATTAATGAGGATAGTTCAGAAAGTGCAGAATAGATAACATTCACAGAATAGATTAAAAATAATCAAAGTTAGTATCAAACTCAAAGAAAAACATATAGTTGTGCAAAGATAGGTGGCAGCTCAGAAGATTATACAAGATATAAAAAACAACAAAGTATTACGAAAAGATTAATGAGAGACAAATTGACCAGATATTTTGCATTGGTCTTCATTAGAAGGATACAAGTAGCATCCTGGAAATAACTGGAAATCAGGAATTGAAAGGGAGGGAGGAACTCAAAATTACAATTCCTAAGAAGAGAAGTACTGAGTAGGTTGTTGCATCTGCGAGTTGATAAGTCCCCAGATCCTGATAGATTTCGTCCTTGGTCTTAAAAGAGGTAGTAGCTAGTGTGATAGCTGATGCATTGTTTTTAATTTTCTAAAATTCATTAGATTTGTGGAAGATTCCTTTTAGAATAAAAAATAGCTAATGTAACTCTTTTAATCAAAATAGGAGAGAGGGACGCAGAAAGCAGGAAACTACAGGCCAGTTAGCTTAACATGTCATTGGGAAATCGTTAGTTACTATTATTAAAGACATTATAAACAGGACAATTGGATAAGTTACAGGTAATTAGGCAAATCTAACATGGTTTTGTCAAACAGAAATCGCATTTAATTAATTTCTTTAAAAAAAAAATTTGTGCCCTAGGTGAATGGGGAACCAGCGGATGTACTGTATTTAGATTTTCAGAAGGCATTTGATAAGCTTATGGTGTAGGGGATAACATATTGGCATGGATTGAAGATTGGCTGGCTAACGGGAATCAGAAAATTGGAATAAATGGTTCTTTTTCAGGGTGGCAGCATGTCACAAGTGGTGGCAGGGGTCACTGCTGGGCCTCAGTTCTTGACAATTTATATAAATGAGTTAGGTGAAGACATCAAAGGTATGGTAGCTAATTTTGCTGATAACACAAAGACAAGTAGGAAAGTGAGTAATAGAGAACTCATAAGGAGCCTACAAAGGGACATAGATTAAGTGAGAGGGCAAAGGTCTGGCAAATGGGGCACAATTTGGGAAAGTGTGAAATTGTCCATTTTGGAAGCAAGATGAGAAAGAAGCATATAAAGTAAGTGGTGAGACGTCTAGTTGTTCTAGTCAATGAATTGCAGGTATTGCAAGTAATCAGGAAAGTAAATAGAATATTATGTTTTATTGTGAATGCATAGATAAGGAGGTAATGCTTCATTTATACGGGGCATTGATGAGACCGCATCTGGAGTAATGTGTACTGGTCACCATACTGATGGAAGAATATTAATACTTTGGAAGTCGTTCAGAGAAGGTTTATTAGACTAGTACCTGGAATGAGCAATTAGTCATTCCAGAAGGCACAAGTCAGGATGTGATGGAAAGCTGTCCACTTTCCTGGATGAGTGCAGCTCCAACAACACTCAAGGATCTTGATTAACTCTACATTCATACCCTTCACCATTGACACGGTAATGGCAGTGTGCATCACCTACAAGGTGCACTGCAATTATGAGACTCCTTTGACAGCACACTCCAATCCATAACCTCTGCCGCCTTGAAGGACAAGGGCTGCAGATACACAGGAACAATGCCACTTGTTGCAAATTCCCATCCAAAGCCACTCACTGCCTTGACATATATTGACATTGCCTTCACTGTTGCTGTGTTAAATTTCTGGAACTCTGTCTGCAGCAGTTTAAGACAGCTTGCCGTCACCTTCTTGACAACTAGGTGTGGGCAATAAATGTAGGCCCATTCAAAAAATGGTTTCAAAACTATAGCCAGTGTCTTTAGTGTCAGTTTTAGAGGTTAGTTTGTCCTGGATTTTTTTTTAAGAGAGGGTGTAAGACCAAGTTGTTGAGCCGGCTACTGAAGACCACCCGAATGAACAATTTGGGAGGCTTTGGGTTTTTATTTTTGACAGCCTGAATGGGTGTGGCCAGCTGTCACAGATGAGGATTTCTGAGTAGCCTCAGAAGCTACTAGGATCTCAAAAGAGTTAGAATCTTCAGTGAATGTCTCCAGGCTGCTACTCTCTCTGAATTTTCTCCTGATGTTTTTTTCCTCCATGTGAGAATCTGTGTCTGAATTTTCCTTTTACCCAAGGGGTGTGTTTACAGGATGTTACTATATTGGAACAGTTAATTAGTGATAGTTACTGTATCAATTATTCTTAAGTTTTCAATAGAGTTAAGTTGCAGGTAGTTCTCCTATAACGTGATAGTTGCTTTCTTGTGAGACCTCGCGCTATAGAAAATCGCCATCGAAAATCATGTTACAGGGACTCACAGTAGAAAATCGCTGTACCTGTATAGCAGAAAGTTCACATTATCCAAACAGCATCACTATTCATCAATTGTGTTAATGCCGATTCATGTTAACGAAACACGCGGTATAGCAGAACTACCTGCATTCTAAATTCCTCTTTGTTTGGTTATATTTTAACTATAGTGTTTAAATAAATTGTGTTTTGCTTAACTTGGAGCAGTTTGACCAGTCGCATTGCATCGAGAACAGACGCTTTACATTTGCCTTTAAATTAAGAAAAACTTAGGGTCTAGGCTACCTTCTTAAAATATTTTAAGGGGGTCTGATTTGGTCCATAACGCTTTGCAAATTCTGCTGTTACTTTCTGCAGTTTCCTTGGATGGTTTTCATACGGTCTTGGTGTCTTAATAAGCTTTCAATGCAGCTGATTTTTCTAATACCTCCTTACCAATATTTTAGTCTGTTTAGTGTCTCACTATTTGGTTTTTTATTTGAATTGCAACTCTTTCTTTGTAAAGGCGGATGCAACATATTCATTCAGTACCTCAGCCATGTCCTTTGTCTCCATGTGTTAATCTCCTTTTTGTGATCCCTAATTTGCTCCATGCCCTCTTTTTATTTCCTTTTTACTATTTATATGTTTATAGAAGACTTTTGGATTTTCATTTGTTAGTTTCTAGCTTCTCAATCTCTCTTTGTTGCTCTCATTTCTTTTTACTCTTCTGCTATTTTACTAAATATCTTAGAATTTACTTCAACCCGATTGTTGTCCAGAATTTTATTTGTACCTCCTAACGTAACACTTTTGGAATAATGTAGCAATAGTTTAATTTTTGTTTTAAATTTTGCAGATTCAGGCACTCGTTGAAAGTTTGAAGCTCTCCATCACAGACCAACAACTTCCTATGCTGATCCGTATAATTCAGCTTGGAGTTGCACTTTACTATGGTGAAATTTGCTCTTACAAAGATGTAGAAGTGGAGGAAGCATGTTCTACAGCAAAGGAAACATCCATTACTCAAATAGGTAGGGGCAAAAATTTGAAGTTTTGATTAGATGCATGAGGCATGTTCCAATGAAGTTGTATGTTTCCCTGACTTGGACATACACTGGCACTTTCATTATCATAATGTTGGAACTCCATATCTAACAATGTTGTGAAAGTATGTTCAATATATGAACTGCAATGATTGAAGAGCAAGGCTCATCACCACCTACATGAGGGCAGTTAGTCACGGGCAGTAATTGCTGCTTGACCTTGCCAGTGATCCCCACATTCTGAGAATTATTTTCATACATATAAATCACTTCAAAATGTTAATTGTATTGTAACTGTGTAATTGAAGGCAGGTAGTGGGTATTAGCCTGTGATTCATACTTGTTCCTAAAGACACAGATTTAAACTGTGGTTATTGGGTTACTTGGTGCTTGCTTGTGACTGCTTGAATAGAGGCTATAAAGGTGTGGAAAGATTGGCTTTGGTTTTATCCTTTACCAACTGGCTTTCTGGAGCATAACACAAAGGACTATAAACAGTTTAGTCTTTCACTCTTTGGGAGCAAAAGCATCACAAAGGAATAGAAGACGCACATAAGCCACTTCACCCCTCCTGTTTCTCCACCATTGAACACGATTGTGGCTGTTCTTCTACCTCAATTTCCCTTTTGCCCCCAATTCAATATCCCTTGATTCCTTGAGTTACCGAAAAACTGTTTATTCCAGCCTTGAATATATTCAGTGATGGAGCATCTACAGTCCTTTGTAGAATGAAGTAATTTCTTCTCATGTCAATCCTTAATGATCGATCACTTGTACTGGGATTGTGCCCTTATGTTCCAGATTCCCCAGTTATGAGAAACCACCTCATATCTGTCTGCCATGCTCCTTCAGAATCTAGTAATTTTCAGTTTTCAATTTTTCATTATTTTAAACTCAAGAGACCATGGGCCCTAATTTAATCAGGCTTTCATCATAACGCCATTCTCTTGTTGCAGGAATTAATTTATTGAACTTTTGTTTCTTCCTTCGATATGAAGATCAAAACTGCTGTCAGCACACTTTGAGTGGTCCCTTCAAAGACTTAAACAATCATATTAAGACTTTTGTTTTAATACTCATTCTCTTTGCAAGAAAGCTAAAATGCTATTTACTTTCCGAATTGTTTGTTGTATCTGTATACCAACTTTGTGTTTCTTGAATGAGTAAACCTTAGTCCTCTGGGACCATCGCTATTTAAAAATGTAATGCCCTTTTTAAAAATTATTCAGCTTTTCTAATTTTGTTACCAAAATGAATAACATCAAGCTCTCCATATCATACTCCATTCACCACTTTTCCTTGCCACTTAACCTGCCAAAATTTCTTTGTTGCTTTTATGGTTCCTTCTCTCAGCTTATATTACCACTTGACTGTTACTGTCAGCAAACTTGGATGTATTACTCTCTGTTTCTTCTTCCAAGTCATGGAAAATATTTTATTTATGAGGCCCTAACTCTTGCATCTGTCCATTAGTTACAGTGTACCAATCTATAAATATCCCATTTATCCTCATTTGCTGCTTCATGCCCGTTAATGAATTTTCATTTTGTGTTAATATTCTGGCCCCAGTTCCATGAGACCTTGTGCATTTACTTCTTGTGTGGCATTTACAGGTTGCCTTTTGGAAATCCAAACACACTTGATCTACTGGTTCCCCTTTATATCTGCTATTCATAACATTCTCAAAAATGATAATATATTTGTCGAACATGATTTCCCCTTTGAAAAACCATGTTCATGTCAGCTGATAATGTTATGCATTTTTTATATGACTCTTGTTAAGACAGCCTTAATAATTGATTTCCAGCATTTTCAGCTTATGTGGTGGGATTTTATTCATTCAGATATTACTGGAATCAAACTAAATTTGTGAAATCTGAGATTTCTTCTTTGCAGCCTCATGACAACTGTATTTAAGATAACTGCAATATAATTGAAGTCTAACAATGAGTGTCACATTGATTGCACATCTCCAAACCAGAGACTGAATTTCTCATTTCTGTTTTCTTTGTAAAATATTATGTTTATTTTGTCACTTATGGGACACAAGCACTGCACAACTGAATCTCATTTGACTTGTGCTTAAGATACCTCTGATAAAAGGAAAAATGTGAGCTCACCAGATATATGATGGAAGGTTGGTGCCAACTAGATGTAAAAGAAATGAATAAATATTCTTCAAGATAAATTAGCATTATATTCCAGGAGATTTTTAAAACGTATATAGGACCCATGTTTTAATTAATGAAGGAAATAAAAATATCAATGTTTCTTTGGTTATCTGTATTGTTACAGCAGTGTTGTCTCAATAGCCGAACAATAATTATTCAGAAACGGCTGATGATGTTGCTCGTGATAAAAACAAATTTGAATTGTGAGTGTTAGTTCAAAGTGTGAGTTTGTCAGTATATGCATACGTTTGCTTAATCTGTTAATGTGCGCTTGTTAACTTGCCTGCAGACATGATGTCTAATGCAGATTTTTAAAAATAATACTGGCATTTTATAATACTGGTGTTGTGTTCGGAAAACACATTCACAGCCTAAGGCTGAATTGCATTGAGACTTGGATTGAAAAGTTCATATGTAACTTGAGTGTTAAGCTAAAACTGTGCAAACATGTAACAATCATATGGTACCCAAAATAGATGAACAAATTCATCTGGCAACGATTGAATTAAAAATAGAAATGTATGTTTTATTTTATTGATGTTCTTAAATTTGATAAAGTAATAACCTAAATAGACAGCAGTGGCTCAATTGATTGCAATGTCAACTGAGTCAGAAAACAGAGTTCAACCCCCTCTCCTAAAGATTTGAGCACAAATCTGAGTCTGAAATTCCACTCCTGAAGGGTGATACACTGTTAGAGGTACGATTGTTCAAGAAAGATGTTAAATTAAAGACCCATCTACTCTCTCAAATCTACTTAAATTATTCCAAAACACAATTCGTAGAAGAGTACTTGAGTTCTTCCTTTTGGTGAAAACAGAAAATGCTGAGAAAACTCAACAGGTCTGGCTATGGAGAGAGAAACAGATACACAGAAGATGCTTTCAGATCTGATGAGCTGCTCCAGTACTTGCTGTTTTTATTTCAGATTTTCAGCATCAGTGGGATTTTGCTTTTATTTTAGAGTTCTTTCTTGTGTGTATGCAATGTTTATCCCTAAATTACTAAAACGGTTTATCTGTTCAGGTTGTTGTGTGTGGGACCTTGCAATATTTGAATTGTTTGCCATATTTCTAAATATACAACACTTCAAAATACAGTACTAGCCCATTACTTGGAAAATCCTTTGGGATGTTCTGAGGTTGGGCTAATTGCAGAGTAAAGGTGCTTTTTCTCCAAATGGCATCAATTTAAGAAAAGAGAAAGTATTTTTTAAATATGGAAGCTCCAGGCCAGATTTTGGAAATACTTACAATTTTAAAGTTTCGGTTATTTTAATCTGTCTTCGCCTTGAGGTGTTGATTTTTGTAGAATTCTTATCCGATGACTTCACTGGGATGTAAAGCCTAATCAGCATGGGATATGGAGCTGAAGCACAAGTTTCAGAAGGTCATGGTAATTTATTGAGAGGAATACTGGTTAGTATGATCTGTAGAAACTGCGAGAAACCTAAGCAATTAGTGTTGGCTGGCATGAATAGCATTCTTCATTCAATGCCAGATGTGCAGTTTGTTGTCATGCTGCTGCTATGTGGAACCATGCAAGTAAATTACTAGTGCATCAGAAAAATATACAAGTTAGATTAGCTATTGGAACAGAAATATCATATTACCGATATAAATGTGTGACTTGTAGAATTCAGGTTTTTGGCTCTTGATAAGTAGCATACATTTGCACGCTACTGTTGATCTCAAATTTTTTCAAAGACTGCAACATATTTTGATTAAGCAAACCAAGTGTTTGAAATGTACTGTTGAGAAGTGCATTCTGTTACATATTTCTGTTTAACCTCCTCAATCTTCACCTTTCTGTCTTCGCACCAAAGTGGAGGATGGACTGACTGAGGCACAGCTTTTATCCATTAGTCATAACCACTGGAATGTAGTGATACGATCACTGCATGTTAAGGTTGGAATATAAAGTCAATGTCAAAACTTTATTTCACTTCGTCTCCTTATTTTAGCGGTTACTCCATTGTCCTAACTTACCTGCATTCCTGTGTTACTTATCATAAAATATATATGTAGAGAGGGGAGGGAGGGCGGAAACGTGGCAACGATTCTGCCCGAGCTACCCCTATTACAGCAGGTCATCTTTGATCCATGTAATTTGCGTGTCTAAAATTTCCTAACAGGATTTGCCTGAGTTTTCCTGCCAAGTATGGATTGCTGTCTTAATTTGTCCCTGACAAAATACCATCAGAATAAAACACTGAGACGAGCCCTATATTAATGAAGGAAATCTTTCAGCCTTTCATTGTGAAATTTGACAGTATTTTGTAAAACTTCAAAATTATGCATGTACTAAAATGCATGAAATGTTTTGCACAATAGATAAAACACTTAGATTGTAAGGAGTTAAAGACAATTATTCCAGGGAAGAGAAACAACTTAATGCAGGCAAACATCACAAACTGTTTATAGAAGCATTGTAAGGAAAAGTATGACATTGAGATCCAGTGAGCTGCTGAGATTGGAAAAGATGAGCAGAACAAGGAAATTAACAAAATACACTGAGAATAGTGTTGTAAGAAGAACTAGTTTAAGGTGTTAATATGAATGTCCCCAAGTAAATGTCAGCATATTAGAACACCTAATGGCAAAGATTTATTCCTGTGTAACTGACAGCAATTTTCCTGAGACTTGTAAAACATCATCAACATCTTGCACATACATGTAAAAAGAACTTGAAGCATTTTGCTCAGCAAAGCAAACAAAGCAGACCGTGAGCAAAGGAAGAACTGAGGAGATGTGATCAAAATTTTGCTTGAAGGAAGAGATAGAAGCAGTGAGCCAAAGCTGAAAGTACAACTGTCAA